TCTTCGCATTGTCGAGTTTAGACGAAAATGTAGTTTACCTAACAAATGCCGAAAGTCATACTTTTCTGCACCTGTTTATTTAGATATAAGGAAATACATAGAGAATTCGCAATCGGTATGTAATGAAATCATCAATTCCTTCTCAGTATATTCAACAGAAAACAACTACTTTCCTGGCTGCGATTTTACTAAATATACTGTACGCTAGCACAAACCACGCCGACCGTAATATATCTCATCTTCGAAGAACTCAGAAACTATTTATCCTTAACGAACTAACCTATCCCTGATTGCGATATTTTTGTGGAAGGAAAACCGAATGGAGTGTAGAAACACATTGATTAATAATATATTTCAAAAGTTGAGTTCTTCAACAAAATCGAATAAAATGAGACTGTTTATCCTAAACGCACTAACCTATTTGACTTCAAATATTTTATGAAAAAGGAAAACCAGAATGAAGTAAAAAAACAAAAAAGTTGCAAAAAAAAGTTCAAGTTAACAGCGATTCGAACCATGGACCTTCAGACTGAAAGTCGACAGCGCTAACCAGTAGACCATTTGGGTGTATGAATTTACTGCGTACAGAAAAAACATGTTCAACACAGAAGTGCATTTGCAAAACAGAGGATGTATTTTGTTGTACTGAATGTAAATGTAACGCTCATTGTAAGAATATTGAAAAATCCGATAACGAAGACCATCAATAAATGTACATTGTTTACTTTTCTGTAAGATGTTTCTTGTAAAAACCGCCTAATTTGCATTTGTGACAATCAACTATACATTCGAAGATATCTAGTCAAATATAAATTGCTCACCATATCTTCCATTTCGACAAAATGAGCATATTTTAATGAAGAATACGGTCTAAGCGCACGACGAGTGAAAGTTTCATCGATCGTTACGCTTAGAATGGTTTATTGGTTTTACATTTTTGCTCCGACGAAACGCCTCGACTGTGGTGCGCTGTCCTAAAAATTTAATTGCAGAACAAAAACTGTTAGGAATATCCATACCATTGATCGAGATGAAATGTTCCTCATAAAATTACGAAATTTTTGATGGAAAAATATGATGTAGTTCATTTGGAAAATAATCGAGTTCTTGCTTGTTGAAGATTAATGAAATATTGAAAAATTATATAGGATAGTTTTTGAAAGTGGTGAAATTCTTAGATATTCGGATGATAAAATATGAATTGTCAATACACCATTCGATTGGTTATACTTCAGGCTACAAAATGAGCCCTCATATGTTTTTTTAGCTTCATCCCTATTATTGTTAGACTGCTATTTTTCAGACATATTGAAAAACGCGATCTTCGTACATTCTTCCCTGTAGAAAATCTCTCGACCATGGGGCGATGTCGTAATTTCTCATTATATATGTGGATGATGATGACAAAAAATGTCCTTGATGTTCAATTAAGTTATACCCCATGATTGGGTTATTGAACGATAGACCGCACCGTCTGCCGTACTAATAAAACATGTTCCATTTTTATGTTGAATACGGAAGCAAATTCGCTCCGGAAACGTGAATGTGAAAATGTAGGTACCTAATATTTTTATGGTATTCTTCCTTTTTCAAACATTCTTCTAAACAAGGTGTCACTCGTTTTTTCAACAGAATTGAACAAGGATTTCGAGAAATTGGATGAAACCAAAATTGTAGTACTTTTGATCCCGATGCGAAAAGTTGGTAGCTCGACCGGAGTAGGCCGGCTATAGATTTCGAAAATAAAAAAAGATTACATTCAGTATTGAGTGATATAATAAATAAGGAGAGTGCCGTAGGCGATTTTTTTCCTTATTCAAGGTCAAATGAGAATTGGATTTTCTCCTACCCTTCGAATAAGTGATTATTTTCGCCAAAATCATGAGTCAAAAAATTTAAATGGAAAACGGTCTACGAATGATGAAACAAATTTCTTTCCTTCTTGATCTTCTTTCAGTTTGTTCGTATCCCTTATTATCCTAATATCAGTCCCGTGGTATATATACTATTTTTTCCACCACTAGCTATAAAACCTACCATTAATTACTCCTTCCCGAGGCATGAAGTGTACTTTTACTGCCAAGGTAGTTTTCGTCATTTTATAACCACTAGTCAATAAAGACATAGCCACCCACCTCTGATATAATAACCCGAACTCACTGTTCTGATGGCATTTGAATCTGTTATAGGTATTTACTACTAGATTTTTTTAAATTGAAAAGAAGTGCTTTCATAGTAGCAATAGGTTCATATCTCAGTTCCACAAAAATGTAATGATTGTAATGTATTGCTTTCCCTGGGTAATACTAATATTCTTCACTACCTTGGTGTATTAATAACTATTATGCACCTGAGGAGTGGAAAAATTGATTAGATATGCAAGAAAATAATGAAAGGCCGTGGTTATCATCATATTGCTTCGAAAGCATTATTGTTATAGCGTTTGAGAAAAAACGCCAGTATTTACTTTTGATCCCTCAAATATTGAAAGTGCTACCAAGTTCCTCAAATGAAAGATTGAAATTAGGTACCCTGCTCTTATGTGCATAACAGTGCATAAAAAAATCATGGGAGGAAAACTTAGCCCCTGTAGCGCTGAAGCGCAACACTGAATAATACTTATATGTCCGGAATGATTTTCTGATCAGAAGATGACCTATGTGAGCATGAAACCATTATGTACAGGGTGATTCAAACTTTCCGCCCTTGGCTCATAACAGGAAAAGGAAAACTGCAAATGCAAATACGACAGAGAGGATTAGAATGGATGTGTCGTGTAAAGTATATGTTCTCGTATTTAAATATATTTCAACTTTTCCCGAGATAGCGTCAGATAATTTTTTTTTTCACGAAGCCACTATTTTTTCCTCATATTCCGAAAGAACATATTTTTTTAACAACTTTCATCATGACAAGTTTCTCCTATCTCCATTTGGTTAAAAGCCGTGGGACTCTGGATTTAGTATTTCCATTTCAATAATCTTTGGTATTTTAAATAAATCTCAACTGACCCGTAACACGTCGCCAGGTTTACGTTTCAATCGGTTCAAATATGAATGCAAAATGTATCCCAATCCATATTTCTTGCAAAACGATTTGCCTTGATTTTCATTACAACGGGGTCAGTTAAGATTTATTCAAAACTGCTAACATCAAAGTCCCGATAGCTATCAACCAAATGATGATAGGAGAAAATTTCCTTTCTGAAAGTTGTTGAATGAAATATTTTCTTTCAGAACATGAGAAAAAAATTGTGACTTTATGCAAAGAATATTTTCGAATGAATATCAACTGACCATGCCGTAATCAAAAATCGAGTCAGCTGGTTTCAGCTTTAATCGGTTCTAAATGATGAGTGCAAAATATATCAAATTACTTACTATTTGTTTTCCGTTCGACTTGATTTTTATCACGGTGGGGTCAGTTGAAGTTTATTTGAAAATGCCAATCATATATCACATCATAGCTATCATACTTAATGAAGAAAGAAAGTTTCACGATGGAAGAAAAATATAATTTTCAGAATATGAGGAAAAATTGTGACTCTGTGGAAAAAATAATTTTGCAGACGTCATTTCCGTCATTTCGAAAGGAGCTGATATATTTTCAAATGAGGATAAATATATCCCCTCTGAGAGATTTCCATCTGCAGTTTTCCTTTCCTTGTTATGAGCCAAGGGCGGGGAGTTTGAATCACCCTGTACAGTGTATTCCATTTTGGTTCAGACATCTGAGGTATCTCTGTTGTTGTGGAACATGGAACCTTGCGGTTTTTGCGGTTCTGTGCCACTTTTTTGTGAAACTCAGATTTTGCCTATAACTTATTTCACATTTTGGACACCCTCTATATTTACAGAGTTTTTCAAATCTTTTGTCATGAAGAATATCATTCAGATTCCAATGTCGTACTCAATTCTTTTTTCGCAGTATGGTTTTGGAGATTCAACTCAAACTTAAATAATAGTAAATAGTAATAAGAATAAATTCATGATGTAAAAGAGGTACCTGATTGAATATTCACCGAAATAGTTGAATTTCGAAATTATACAGTAACTTGATTGTTGCCCAGTTTTCCACACAATTGCCACAATTGACACAATTGACACACCTAACCTGAAGACGCATCAAAAATCATTGAAGGATATCTTTGTGATTCCTAAAAAACTGCCTCTGTTGTTACACCATTTTGTACGAATTTCTTCAAGATTGTTGTGCTTCCTAGAAAACATGTCGCAGTTGGACGATGTAAGCGCTCTAAATCACCGCTACAATAAAAGCGGTAACACCGTCCAACTGCGACATGATTTCTGCATACCAGTGTACTTGTACCTGTTGAGGAATTGTGTCAATTGTGTGATAGAGAAAAGGGACATCAATTCGAATAATTCAATGAATAAGTTACTGAATGATTTCGAAATTCAATTGTTTTAGTAAATATTGAAACAGCTGCTTATGCAACATTATGTATACTTCTTATTACTATTTATTTGTTGCTATTAGGTACCTACGTTTTGTTTTGTGTAAGTTATTCAGTGTTGGAATTGTTTTTTTCTCTTCATGGTAAAATCAAAAGTTCAAGTGGAACTTTTTTATTTAAAAAATCTATATCACTATGAAAGTCCATGCTTCATTGATTTTGGAGCATCTTGTAACGGTCCACTAGTGGATCGTTCATAACTCCTGTCCATCATAGGTAATACACTCATGTTATGCTGCGGGATGCATTGTTTTCAGAGACTTGATCGCTGAAAATCCTACTTAGAAACTACTTTGGGATACTAACCATGTCAGTTTCAACACCCAGTAATAATCAAAATGAATCGTACTTACATTGAACCCTCGTCAAACTGTTTTCTCATTGTAATTAAATCAGGCTACCTACCCTGTTCTCTGTAAAAGATTTCATCTGATGTGTTTTCGATTTCATATATAATTTCTTCAAGGGGTTATGTTTATTTTGCAAATAAATATTAGCGAACAGCTGTTTAGACTATCACGTCTTATTCTTCCCGTTTTATATTCGTTTGGCACATCTGTGACCTAGTCGTAAGAAGCGTAAAACCTAATAATATATTGCCAGTAAGGGACTTAGCAAGCAAGGTCTTCAAGGCAAAGCACGTCAGAGTACCTCCGGGAAGAACGACGATTCTCTCTCTCTCTCTAGGGGCCATTTTTCTGAAATGCCACGAAAAGTTCGTGCTGTTGAACTTAAACAGAAAATAATGAAAATTTTGGTGATGAAGGCCGATTAACACCTTTAGGCAAGTATAATAAAACTTTTGCAATAAAGTGCACTGAAAATTATAAATCGAACCATAATAAAATACATCGAAAAACACATGCATCATGATGACTTCTTTTCAGGCCTTCATGGTATAGGTATACCGCCATTTTGGTATAATAGTCGTGTCGTTGTAATACACGACGCCATAATGATGGCGAACAAGGTTTAAAACCTTGTGATTTCAACCATAATTGCTACTGGTGCAATATTATGTTTATCCGTTGTTCCTGTTTCTAAAAGTTATTTTTCTGGACCCATGCTGATATGCCACTGAGAACAGTTCCTCCGAATTTGGTATATTCGTGATGGATGATGAGATCCGTTTGGTAAAAGCTACGTTACACTTATAGGGATGACCTACTGTAAGTAGATTTTTCACTTAATTTTGCCAACCTGATGAGAAGATGGACTGCACCAGTTGATTGGGATTTAATACTATTACTTATTATTGTCTGCCTTTATATACCCTCTCCTTTGTGAGAAAGGGAGTATCAGCGCTGATAGTCCGTTTCATAGGACTTGGTTATATTTTCCAGAATTTATATCACACCTGTGGACCATTTATACAGTTCTTAATGTTTCCTTTTGAAGCCACAGTGAGGCTAAGTTTAAGATTTAAGTACTGCTTATCTTAGTATATATTTGTACTAACGAATTCTGACTAATACAGTTTTGTATACTATTGGATCATAAAAGATAACAAAACTGTTGCAACTATTCATAAGATTAAATACTAACAGATTATTTCAGTAATTCTTAAGCTAAAGTTAATTCTTAAATACTCCAGGAATTGGGTCCAATTTAAATTTGAATATTACATATGATATATTATTGTAACTTTGAGGTAATTCGGTCATTATAGCATGGATTTAGAAAAACTCCAGTACTGTTGATATTTTTGTTTTGTCTCACCCTATTCCTTCCCAGATAATACTGGGTGGCGCCCACATTTACCTATTTTTATGAAATTAAATCCACGACCATCTCTACCACAAAAGAGCAACCGTGTAGTGAGGCCATAATTTCATCTCTTGTTGAAATTACGTCACAATCTTTGAAAATTTTATATTCATAACATTATACATAATTCGAAAGGAAAGAAAACAAGGAATTTGATGAGCGGATGAAATACAGGGTGTTCTACTGAAAAAATCATAAGTTTGATGCGTACTTATCTCCAAAATCATATACTTACCCCGAAAAAAAAATAAAATGAGTGCGCCACTAGTTTCTGAGTGACATTCTCTATGAGATAAAATTTCAATTAGTCATTATCGCATTTTTCATCACTGAGGAACTTCGTTGATATGGAGATGGTCGACAAAGTGTGAAATGTACAGTGCTTTATACGTAACCAGTTAGGAAACGCGTCATTTTGTTTGACGACGGGATTATGCGAGACGAACGAACGTATTACGTGTAATTTTTTTTCTAATTTTGCTAGAAATTTTCGCTCGAACAGATAATATGATGACCATCATTTCTACATGAATTCTACCGATTATGTCCAAAAATTGAGTATAGGCAAGTCGACTCCGCCCGTCACTTCGAAGTATCCGTCATAAAATAATATGGTCGCAAATTAGTGACCAAATTCACGAAAAAGACTCGTTCGATACTTCCATCAGTGAAAAATGGCTGATTCAAGTTCAGTTTTTCCAACTGATATTGAGAAAGCAGCTTGAAATACATTATTCTTTTCGTCCAACCACATATTCAATAACGTAACTGGTGCTGTAGTGAATAATATTTCATCACCAGTTAAACCAGTTATGTTATATTTCACTTTACACCACAGGTTATACGAAAAGTGAGAAGTTTGAATATTTCCGTGGTTTTGAAAAGTTCCACATCACATGTCAAATTAAATAAAAAAGAATTTCGAGCCAAACTTAATATTTCCAAGAGATATCCTGAAACAGGTTGATTTTCATTCTTAATTTCCACATTTATAATAGACAATTTCTCGAATGGAACATCCTATCAACTATTGAATTCTCGAAATCTTCATGGAAAGCTGAATTCAGGGTGTTCCATTGAAAAAAAAAAACACAAAGCTATTAGCCTACCCGAAAAAACGAATGACACTGATATTCCTCAATATTCCTATAAAAACAACATAATGACCTCTTTATACTGAACTTTCCTTGAATAAAGTACCATTCCTATTTCACATTCTTGGGGGAATTTAAGACTAAGAAAATTGTTTGAAATGATGACTTAATAAAAACAAATTATCATAGGGATTTCCTTTCGTGCGCTTCAAGCGTTGAAAAATATGTTCCATCAATAACTAATCCAAGTGCTTCGTAAATTTTTTATTTTATAAGGATGCTTGCCAAAAATTTGACGGATGACGTCACAATGTGTCCATGATGATTGCAGACAAAAAGGTTCCTGCATGATCCGCCATTTTGAAAACAAATGTCATTTGAAAGGTATTTTTTCGCTCTATCGACTTACGTAAAATTATTCATACAGAGTGCCATTTGAATTTCAGTAAAATTTTGGGGCAAATCCTCTGTACTTGTACAGTGTGCAACATATGGAAATTGTTTTGATGAATTGCACAACCAAAATACAGTCAAACAGCATACAGGGTAGGTCAAAAAATATAAAAAATGCTCAGGAGCTTATTTCAGAAAATTCAGCAAACTGTTATGGAAAAAAGTTCTTTACAATTGAAAGTTTTTCCTGAATGCCAAAACATGGCCTCCTAAGACATATTTTAGTGTTTCGATTTGTTCCATTAATAACTTCCCAATTTGTATTTTTTTTTATATTCACCCTAAACACTTTCATAATTTGATCATAACAAAATCAGTTGATCATACTTTTGTTGAAATTAATGCACTTTTGTGCAATCAACTTGGATTTTATTTTTTTAGGGAATCACAAACTTGATGTTTGTTGCAACGATATACAGCTTAATTTTGAGATTTCGCAAACCATATTTTCAACAAGGTAAAACATCATTAGATAAGGAGTATGTCACCAAACTGCCTCAATATTTACTGTCAACCCTCATTTGTTCTGTTTCTTGATGGGTGTCCGTGATTTTTCAAAAGATATCATGGTTGTCGATCAATTTGTTCAGCTTTTTCATAAACATTTCAAATACAAAATGTTCACATTAAATGAAGGTTTTTGAATATGCATATTATCAATAATGATGTTTTACCTTGTTGAAAATAGGGTTCGCAAAATTTCAAAGTTGAGCTGAATATCGTTGCAACAAACATGAAGTTTGTGATTTCCTATAAAAATTGAAATCCAAGTTGAATGCAAAAATATGCTTGAATTTGAAAAAAAAATGGGAATTCATTAACGAATGGAATTGAAGAACTGAAGAATGTCTTAGGAAGCCATGTTCTGGTATTTAGGTATGAATTTTAATTGTGAACAACTTTTCTCAATAACATTCTGCTGAATTTTTTGAAATACGGGTACTTTACTCCTGAGCACTTTTTATATCTTTTTACCTACCCTGTATGCTGTTTGACTTGCAACTATTCTGAGTGCACCTGAAATGATGATCGAACATGCACCAACTCTTGGCACTATCTGTATTTTGGTTGTGCAATTCATTAAGAAGATTCCCATATGTTGCACACTTAAATGACCACACTGTATATTGAAATTATGCTCATATTATTATTTTGTAGGAGCGAGAAGGGAAAATCCCAAATAATCAAGTAAAATGTATGTAACACCTCCTCGATCAACCAACAGGCGGTATTTCGAGCCGCCATTGCTTGAGATTCGACATTTCATGGAAGATGAATGAAGTCATTATGATATCCGAAACGCAAATGAAATTGATCACATACAAAGTACCTCATTGATCACATACAAAGTACCCCATTGACGAACGGAACATTTTGGTATATAAACGAATTGGGTCCAATCAACTTATTTTGACCTCTACTTCAAGTAGAGCAATTTTGGGACACCCTATATATAATCTATAACTGAAGTCATGTCAGGGATTTGAACACAATTGACAATAAGAAAACACTAGATTCGAAAACTCTTGGGGAGTAGGTTTCCCGAAACGAAATAGCGATATACAAATGCTACAAGTTCTGTATTTATATTATCTACTATTTAATTGGAGAATCAAATTGAGAGGTATACACTTCTGATCCGAATCTCAGACCATGACTATAGAAAAGTTTGAAAGTTTGATGTTTTTCTCCAATATTTATATGTTCAGAAATGGACATACAATGATTCCATTTCTGCCTTATAGAATCTCCGAGAATAGATTCACCTATTATACATAGAAAACATCGTTATATTCACATGTCTGATGTTTTGTTATATAATTTTTCAACAAAAAGAATGATAAACCTATACTTCTTTATCTTGATACAATCAAATTATCATGTCAATATCTTCCTGATTCGGATCAAACAGATTATCAAACACAAATACTACAATGTACGAACCTATCTCAGCCCTCTAGAATTCTTCATAAAACAGTTTGAATCAGATTTGAGTAGGTATAGCAAGGAATTTCTATCGATTCAACTTGGCAACAATGCGCTACCGCTTGTTCCGAGTCTCCACGCGTCTCACACATTCTGGTATATTGACGGTCTGTCGATGTACGGTTCTGATGTTTTACGGGTCTGTCAATGTACGGTTCTGCCATTTTACGGTTCTGCTATTTCACGGGTCTTAATCCAAAAAATTCTGAAATTTTACGGGTTTGGTAGCTGCACGATTCTGCCATTGTACGAGTCTGTCATTTTACGATTCTGCTGTTTTACGGGTCTGTCGTTTTACGGTTTTGATGAATTATGGTTCGGAAATTCCGGTAGTCCGATGGATTATGAGTCTGTCGATGTACGGTTCTTGCATTTTACGGATCTAGAGTATTGGCAGTCTGTGCTTTTACGAGTCTGTCATTGTACGGATCTTTCATTTTACGGGTATCAAAAATCGACAGTCTGTCTTTTTACGGGTATGAACTTTTCGCATTCTGCCATTTTCAGATTCTGTACATCACAATTCTGCCAGTTTGCTGGTCGGGAATGTTCATTCTGATGAAATGGTGGTCTACAGAGTACGGGTCGCTGAATTACAGTCTGTGCTTTTACGGTTCTATGACTTTACGATTATATATTTTTATGATTCTGACGACATGAAGAGTATTTTATTTACTGGTTTGGCAAAGTACACTTCTGAATATATGGCAGTCTTTCGATATACTATTGTGATTTATGCATTCTGACATAATGCAGTCTGTCAAAGTACGGTTCGACAAATTACGGGTTGTACATATTGCAGTCGCTGAAATATGGTTCTGATGATTTGCTATTCTGATTTCTTACTATTCTAGTCAAATAAATTCCTACTAATCGACGGTCTGTGTCGATACGTTCTGATGATGTATATGGACCCGCTTTCTATAAGATATTGAACTCAAAATCATCTTGTGGAGCAGACAAGGGATGGGGAAAAAAATTTCTGTGATTGAAATAGATCATATTGTGGGTGTGAGTATAGTCTATCTGAAGTGAGTTGGAGTGCCATAAACAAGGAATAACCGCCACATGCACGCACTTAAACCAAATCGTTTAATGCTGGAACTCCTCCAATTGACTCCGAAAAGACTGAACATCTATGACAAAAAGCATCACGAAATAATATCTCAAGATGAAAATGTATCTCAAAATTACCTAGGAATAAGCTGTTCTCAAGCTCAAGGTGTTTATTTTCTGTTTCCATTTCATTTATGTGATCTATGAGCTGTTGATCAGTCAAATCATCCAAAGGATTTTTTTCTTCTGCAAATATCAATGATCCTTCGGTGTGGAATGAAATATCGTTAGAGTCAACATCTGTATGTTCTGAGTCTGCTTGTTCTAGACTGTCTTGAGACATCCTGTGGGTATAAGTGGTATGACTACGTTCCCTAATATATATTGAATAAAAAAAACTGATTTGAAATAGATATATGACGACCGCTGTCAGACATAAGAATACTGAGTGTTAGATCGATGAAGTCTTGACAACAGTTTTCTTGCACGTGAGAATATGATATTGAAATAGTACGTGTCGATCAATTACTAATAGATTTTCCTGGATTTCGAATCGAGTATACAATACAGACTATTCCTGCCAAAAATGTCTCATAGAGACCGTCGAGAGAATATAAATGAGAAATCATAAAGTCTGAGTTGGATAGAAAAACCGCAATCTCGTACAGAACCGCATATATGATATTCATCAGTATTTATCATTCTTACAGGTACATATCCTTATAATTCCTAATAGCAATAACTATACCAATCGTATTTCAATGTGATTTTACATATATACTCATATTATAGACAACAGAAGATGAACTATAAGACAGTTAACTCGTTCATTTTTCGACTTCTAGGAGATCTCGCCGCACCCTCGCCGACAACTCGATTCTGCCGGCCACCGCCTGTGTTATATTTCCTGGTCTACTTCCATGGACTTTTTCTCCCACCGACTTACTGCAAATGATAATCTTTTGCTTGTTTTGCTTTTTATTATTTATTTATACTTCAAAACAAACAGGCAAAGCCCTTTTACAGTTGTGGAATATATAATCAATGCACAGTATACAATGGAAAGAACATCTAAAAGAAATTATGATTATTGATATACATATATATACAGGGTGTTTCATAAGGAGCCTCACATAGCCGAATGGTTAATAGGGGAAATCAAGACGAGTTGATGTATATATATGAAAACATTTTTTGACCCTCCATAACGAAGATACAGGGTATTATGTGAAATTGCTATATAACTTTGATGGTCAATATTACAGAAATGATTCGTCGTAATCTGCTGAAATTTGGCAGCAACGTACCTCTACTGAAACTATTCAAGATAACATATTATGAAAAAAACATCCAGGTCCGGACTTGGTAAAATTTTATATTTCATTGTTATGTCAAAAAAGTTCACTTTGTGACCACTTTTCTCAAAAAATTCCATCAGATTCAGAAATATCAGACAAAGTGCTATAAGAACTGCTCTCCAATTTACACGGCACACTCTGACCGGTTCAACAAAAAAATATGGATCAAAAACGTTCGAATGAATTTTCAATTTCGACCTTGCTGATAACTCTCAACTTTTAACTGGATTCGTGTAAATTGATTTTTTGTACATTTTTATTGTATAGAAACTGACAGAAGAGATAAGTACTGATTCTTTAATGATTTGACATGTTAGTTTTTGATCGAACTTCTAGATAGATATGATTACTCGTGACTCTATTTTATAAATTTATTATAAAGTGGGCCCTGTTTTCATTTTATGTAACATGACGTTTGTTGATAGGTAAACACTGGTAATCGAAATATTCTTACACTCTAGGTGCCACTTCATATTCCAAATGCTGAACAAGACGAAAATGTTTAATACCATAGAATGTTCTCAGACCCAAAAATACGTTGCAGTAAAACCTTCACGATGATGAACATTAGGAATTTTGAATAAATAGCAAATGCATATCCTTATGTAACTTGCAGAAGTGTATCAATAACAAAAAATGGAGCTAAGTTTATGCTTGATGGCATAACTAATTTGATAAATCACCATAATATGGGCACATGAATCCTCATGTCGTAATTTCATCAGATGTTACCTACCTAGTACTAGCCTAGTACCTAACTATCAGTTCGGATTGTCAACAAACGTCACGTCTCGTCACACAAATGAGAAACCGGAACTACTCGATATCTCACTTCAAGCGACACCCATAAAACAAAGTCAGGAATGATAATATCTATCTGGAATTCTGATAAAAAAATATCGTGTTCTTCTTCTCGTCTATTCTTTTGTCAATTACTTTTCAACAAAAATGTAGGAAAAATCAAATCACATAATGCCAGTTGAAAGTTGACAGTTATCAGCCAGGTCGAAAATTAAAATTCATTCGAACGATTTTGTTCCATATTATTTTATTGAACCGGACAAAGTGTGCCGTGTAAATTGAAGAGCAGTTCTCATAGAATTTTGTCTGATCTTTCTGAATCTGATGGAATTTTTCGAGAAAAGTGGTCACAAAGTGAACTTTTTTGACATAACAATAAAACATAAAATTTTCCCAAGTTCGGACCTAGATATTTTTTTTCATAATATGTCATCTTGAATAGTTTCAGTAGTGATACGTCGCTGCCAAATTTCAGTAGATTACGACGAATCATTTCTTTACTATCGACGATCAAAGTTATATAGCAATTTCACATAATACTTCGTATCTTCGTTATGGAGGGTCAAAAAATTTTTTCATATATAAACATCAACTCGTCTTGATTTCCCCTATCAACCATTCGGCTATGTGAGTCTGCTCATGAAACACCCTGTATAAAGATACATTAACTTCAGAAACAGTCTCAAAGGAAATCTTTCTAGGTGAGGTTGCAGTCAAAATTTTGGCCTTAATGAGAAGACTCTTTGTTACTTAGCCGAGCTTCCGGAAATGTTTATTTCCTTCATCAAGACATCTATAAAAAATGGGTTAGTGAAAAAACTTTGTAAATAATACATTTGAAAAAAGTACTTACTAACGTGAGATTGTTCTAAAACACAATGAAATACATAACAGTTGCATCTTCAGCTGAATTTGACGATTAAAACATTTTTTAATTTTATAATTTCAGGATAAAAAGCAATAGGAATCAATCCACAGTTTATTTCTTTTCCGTGACGGACCTTTGAAAACAAAATGGACGGTTGGAAGAGTCGGAAATGCCAACTACGTCGGTGGAAATCGTTTCAGACCGACGACCGTTGTGAGAGAAGAAAGGGAACCGTGGCGGTAAATTTGAAAATTAATTGGGTGGTGAGACAAGAAATTAAGGATCACCCTCCTCCTAACTATATATATATATATATAAGGTATAGGGTTTGTGTGGATCCAGCTGATGTGGGACTCAAAAGAAAACTCTTTTTACTTTTGAGAAAGCTCTCGGAATTCATTTAATTTCCTTCGTCAGTCTCTCTAAAATGAAATGTACAATTATTATATTCAAAAGAAATGAATATTAGAAATTACAGTATATGAGATTGTAGAATTGCAAATCAGAATAAGTAGTATGAAATTGTAAAAAATGCATAGATTCATGGATATAAAACTAATATAACTTTGTCAAAGTGACAATATGTAACATGAAAAAAAAAATACATGGGGTTGAAAAATTAGATAGGTAAAAGGTTGATCAAGATGAAATTGAATTGATAGATATATTGTGTCTATCATGCCTTTCATTCTCTATTTCTAGAATATTTGAATAAATTGCTTTCAAATTATGAATATCTGTTTTTTAATTCATTGAGCATTTTTTATGTTTTATATAAATCATTTTTAAGAAACATCTCTTGAAAGTATATTTTTCTGTCGCTAATATTGGGATGTTATCAAAAGCCATTGGATGTCCAGTATCATTAACATGTTGGGATAAAGCGCATGCATTTGGTTTTACACGAATATCACTTTTATGCGATGTAATTCTTGATTTCGAATTTCTCTATGTCTCTCCAATATATTTTTGATCACATTCTATACAATTTATCTCATATACTACACCAGCTTTATCAATATTTGGAGTTTTATATTTCAATTTCGTGAAAAGTTTACTCTCAGTTTTGATTGGTTTGTTAGTCATTATAATTTCATCTTGTTGTTTTAGAACATTATCAATTTTTGAAGTCAGATCTCTGATATATGGTAATGATTTATATTTTTTCAAAATAATATCAGGCTGTTGATTTCCAATGTTCATATCATTGTTAGGTAATTGAATGGTTCTATTATCTGAAATATTTGGAGTTGAAAAAAGTAATTTGTTGAGTGAATGTTTTGGATAGGAATTTTCAATAAAAAAATGGAATAATTTTCCCAAATTTTGTTGTTCAAGATTTGGATGACATATTTTAATTATTCTATTTTTCATTCCAAGAATTAAATTTATTTTAGTTTTCTCTGTGTGATAAGAGAAATAATTCATATATCTTCCTGAACTAGTAGGTTTGATATACCAGTCTGATATAATTTTATTTTTTTCGGTCCTGATAAGTCTGGTGTCAAGAAATGGTACACTATTATTACTTTCATTTTTTATAGTAAATTGTCAATATTCATTATAATTGTTCAATACATCAAGAATTTCATTTTCTGAGCCTTTGGGAAAAGCACAAATTATATCATCTAGGTACATATTTTCTAAAAAAACGTAATTCGAATGACAATTCAGGTAGGCAATAATTTAATGAATCATCTGAAACGTATTGTGCCAGAAAAGGTGATATTTTTGAACCCATTGGAGTTCCAAAAATTTGTTGATAAAATTGTCCATTCAAGGAGAAGAATGTATTTTTGAAAATGAATTTAATAACATTGATTAAAGAACTTTTACTCAATGTGCAATAATCTTCAATTCTAACCCATTTATTATTGATACTATCTAAAACTAAGTCTTCAGGAATATTGATGACTTATTTATTCATGAGGTAATAAGTAGCCTCTTATCTAATCATGATTATAACTAAATAATTTCTTTAACTTGTTTTTCGTCTCGTCAGTATGTTAATGTTTACAATTTTACAAATTTCACAACAGAGTAACCATTCTCAATAAGTGTAAGTGACAAAGTTTTTTCAATATTGTGAATTAATTATAATACTTCCAATTTTGTAGTCTACCCTGATGATGGAAATATACATTTCCGAAAGCTCGGACAAACTTAAATGGGTACACATTTACTTTTGCTACATCCCCACTAAACTACTAGTTTTATATATATATTTATATATGAATCAAATTCACAACATATCACAAGAATTCATACTGAAAATATCATCATCATTATCTACATTAGAACAGTTGTAATGAAGTGTTTTTGAACAGTTTCATTACTAGACTGGTTTAGATCAAAATCTAAGTACCTGAGCCTGATTCTAGTTGAATTTAACCTGTTCGAAAGCTCGAAACCT